CCATTGTTGTGTAACCGCGGTGTTCTGCCACTGATCTGACCACTGTGATGTAAGCACTGACGGTAAACTCACGGAGTGCCCAGAACAATACCACACACAAACACGGCTTGTCAACAGAGGAGGAATTATCTCCCTTGTTACGTTCTCTCCCTTTGGACGCCGGCGGTCCCGTAGAGCAATCAGTGGAGGAATTACCTCACCCTGACGGAGGCTGTAATTTACCAGGGGCGTGATCCTCTCCGGCGCTCATCCACCCCCGGGGTAGCCAGTATTGGGTTAAACGGGTGGGCAGGTACATTTTGTAGCACAATCTGGCGAACTGGCCGTATCTGTTCATTTGTTGTAATGAGATTAACCCTTGGTCTCCCAACACCCCGGAGTCGCGCAATGCGAAACGAAAAGCGAGAATTCCAACTCTTATCAGTGACAATTTCAAGCGCTCAAGCTGCGCGCGCATGACCGTCGGGAATTTCCTCAAATTGTGGTGCTTCAATTTTGTACGGCAATCTGTTGATTTGGTTGACAATGGATGCGCTCAGAGCGTCGGTCTCTTCTGCTCCACTTCTGCAATTTCGCGACTCCCCCCCCCCCCAAGTTTAGAGTCATGGCTGCAATTAGATTACCTCGGCAGACGTGAGAAATGATGTCACCTGTCAGTAATAGCTGGTCACCTGACACAAGCAGCGACTGGGGAGTGCTCACTTCCAAACGTCACTCAGGCTAATTTAAATTGTGTTCTGTAATACTTTAGGTGCTGACGCGGTGAAAACAAATGAGTACTGTATATATATATATATATATATATATATATATATATATATATATATATATATATATATATATATATATATATATATATATATATATATGTGTGTGTGTGTGTGTGTGTTTGTGTGTGTGTATGTGATGTATACATTTCAGAGCATTCTTATTAGAATGTCTGACTATTACAAAATGTTACATGTATCTTTCCTTGCTTAGTTTTTTTTTAACTATCGGGTCATTATATTTTTGAGATCGTTTTGTCCTTCTTATGATAATACATGGACACATTGAAAGCGTACTTGTCTATTAATGACAATGTTAGAACGGTTATTCTTTTTAAGTAACTGGATAGTAATAAATATGATATCATTCTTTCGAAACAATCTTTGATCTGCTTATTAGACACTTTTTTAAAATGAAATACAATGTCAGGAGAATCAAACTGATCGGAACATGAAATATATCTATCACTCTTAATTTAGTTGTACCGTATTCCTTCAGGAAAATGATATCTATCAATCTCAATACAGTTTTACCGTATTCCTTCAGGAAAATGTCGCGACAAATCAGTCCCTGGGTGTGGGGTGCGCAGATTGCGATTCTAATGAGGGAGAGTTCGATGACAGCGGCATCTATTGCTGATGACGCGCTTGGCATCTATTAGAGGACAAAAATGAGAGATTGTCGACGATACCCATGGCGTTTATTAGTGGGCGCCCATGAGAGGTGGATAAACGATCAGTGGCACTGGGAATGGATAAGTTTGAGGGTGGGGGGCGGGGGGTTAGATTGGGCTCCATCAGCAAAAATAAGCGTCTGGGAAACATTGATAGCAGAGAACTTGAAGATTTTCTGTAGTGAAAAGGAACAAATAAATCACATGTCTATCTTTTAAAAAAAATACAACCTATTCATTATGGAAAAACACGTCTGATTACCAGTATTCTATCTAAATAATGTGTAACATCATATAGTTCATTATAAACATTTATATTACCACATCCCACTGTATACAAATTTGATCACCACTTCCCACTTCTAATAAATCTTGTATCACCATTTCCACTCCGGATATACCGTGTATCACCACTTACTAAAGACAATAAAATTCACCACTGTCTACCCCATCAATACAAACTTGTACCACCGCGACCTGCATCAGTCAAACATCTTATCACAAAAACAATCGGCATTTTGTCCGACCAGCGTACGCCATTTGCCATCTGTTATTGATACCATCACGATACCATCACGACTATTAAATCCCATTAGTCCACCGCTACCCCCTCTCTCAACAAACAGATCAAACTATTATTCATTTTCCCTCGAACCCCACCCCCACCCCCACGCCCCACCCCCTACCAAGCACGACGGAGTTCATTTCACGCCTACCCTAACGAAACGGCTATAATTTTCACCCCACTCTGCGGCAATCGGACAAAGGGCGGACTAAACACGGACAAAGACCGGACTAAACTCGGACAATGGGGACTAACGGACATGTTTTGTCTTTCCTGTTCAACCATCCCTCTCACCGCAACCCATCACTCACCTTCTCAATTCCCATCCTTCATATCTCTGGCATAACTTCTCCCATAACCTCCCATAATAGCCTAATGAGAGAAAGGATTACCCATTCATTAGACCTGACCCACAGTTAGACGACCCGGCCCAAGTGAATATCGCTGTACGTAACACAACACGTTTCAAAATTTAACCGTTAAAAATCAACCGAATATTAATGAGACCAGAAGAGGGTCATTGTCTTCAAATTGTAATTGGTCTCATAGTTCTGGTGTAACGGTGGTGTAGGCTTTTTTTTCGGAGATTTGCCGGGGTGTGGTGGTAAGGTATGTAAGAGGTATGTATATTAGGTGGGGAAGGTTATGCAAGAGGTATGTATGTATATTAGGTGGGGAAGGTTATGTAAGAGGTATGTATATTAGGTGAGGCAAGTTTATCAAGAGGTATGTATATTAGGTGGGGCAAGTTATGTAAGAGGTATGTATGTATATTAGGTGAGGAAGGTTATGTAAGAGGTATGTATGTATATTAGGTGAGGCAAGTTATGCAAGAGGTATGTATATTAGGTGGGGCAAGTTATGCAAGAGGTATGTATATTAGGTGGGGCAAGTTATGCAAGAGGTATGTATATTAGGTGGGGAAGGTTGTGTAACACATTTTTTGGTTCCCTGTTCAAGGTTTGTCTTCCCTGTTAAATTCTGATGTAATTGACTGGTCTATTGACACGACATGTATGTATGTGGACATAAAGTTACAGGTTAATTTAACATTATATACATATGTGTTGTCATATATTTAGATACATGTATGTTGTCATATATTTAGATGTATGTATGGTGACATATATTTTTATACATGTATGTTGAGATATATTTAGATACATGTATGTTGTCATATATTTAGATTTTCGTTACAGGTTGAATTAACATTATATACATGCATGTTGACATGTATTTAGATACATGTATGTTGACATATATTTAGATATATGTATGTTTACATATATTTAGATTTTTGTTATAGGATGATGGAACATGGCGTGTATGTATTTGGATATTTAGGTTTTTTTTTTATTATTATGCAACTATTGTTGCAGTTTTTGTGTGTGTAAAATTCGTATTTTTTTCTAACTTAATTAATTCCACATTGTTCCGGTGAAGTTCATTATTCGAAACAAAAAGTTTTAATAATTAGATGTAGTTAATTTTTCCTTTGGCGTCTTGCACAAAAGGCAAACATGTTTTTAATTTAATTTTTTTTTATTTTTTACATTTTTGTTTACAACAATGATCTTTGTTCAACACACACGCACACACATACACACAAGCTGTCACTCCACACACACACATTACATAAGGTATTATGCAGAAAGACGTCTATAAATGAAGTAGTTTTTAAGGATATTGCAAGTTCTAGTTTTTTGCCCTCTATTACCCGATGCTATACCTTGTGATCTGATAGTCTCCGTTCTCCCGCTGTGAGGGTTAAAAAAAACTCATTTACAATCAGTTACTAGAGAGATATTGATGGGGGAAAACGTTTCTTTATTGTTTGCTGAATGGTTTTGTTAATACATTTCTTTTTCTTTTGATGTGTGTGTGTGTGTGTGTGAATGTGTGTATGTGTTTTTCAGTACGGGCGTTTGTGTATGTGTTGATAATTATTATTCTCGACTATAATAGTTTAATCTTGTGTGTGTTGATAATTATTATTCTCTACTACAATAGTTTAATCTTGTGTATGTTGATTATTATTAATCTCTACTACAATAGTTTAATCTTGTGTGTGTTGATTATTATTATTCTCTACTACAATAAATTAATCTTGTGTGTGTTGATTATTATTATTCTCTACTACAATAGTTTAATCTTGTGTGTGTTGATTATTATTATTCTCTACTACAATAGTTTAATCTTGTGTGTGTTGATTATTATTATTCTCTACTACAATAAATTAATCTTGAAGTAATCAGTGGTTTGATCATGAAGTAGTTACTTATTTTCACCTCGTCTTTTAATTCAGCTCATATTTTTAAAAATGCGCGTATCTTATTTCTGAGGCATACCTGTTAAACAAAAACTATCCTAAACTTATAATTTCATCAATAGAGTAATTAGCGAAATAAATCGTGATTCGTGTGGTCTAAAGTCGAAATAAAATACCCAATAAAAACGTGCCGTAAGCTTAATGGTCTCTGCAATATAACACACCTTAGCTCTATATTATCGCACGTTTATAAATCGGAAGTACAAAGAACTTTAGCTCCATAGTGTCGTGAGTTTAATGATCTCTGTATTGGCAGGCAGTACTTGGTAGCCATATAACACAAGAGACTGTATGTGGTCCACACATCAACATATTAACATACGTTTAAAACTGCCCACAACTCACTGAACGTCAATACTTTGGCAATTCTACAATCAATTTATCTGGCTGACCGGCATTTTAACATTTTTTTGTACAGGGAATTAATCCCAGCGCATTAATTCAAACACTGTATCTTCATAGTTCATTGAATAAGACACTCGCAAAATATGTTTTATTTTACAGTGCCTTTAATTATCCTTAAACACCTTAATTTTTTTTATAGTTTTAATTAGATATAATGCAAGTAAGGAAAATTCAAACCATTCAACGGATATTTTCTTCCCTTTGATTATTATATATGCAATTGATTTTTACCGGATATTGGAGGGTCATTTATACTAAACAAAATCTTACTTTATTTATATACTTGAATATGGAGCCCACGAATTGTATCAAAGAAGTTTTAAGAGCTGCAAATCAGTATACTCATAATAATGGACAGCTAGCATATCTGCTTCGACAATTAGAGGCTCTTCAGACAATATCATCAAGATCAAGTTATATTCGTCAACTTCATTCTATAGATCTTGTGGAATTGGCTGACTGTTTGACATTCCTTGTAGATGTAATAAGGGAAGAGCATGGACAGATAGAATTGATGCAGCGGGTCATACAAATTTTGCTTAACTTTTCTCATGATGATTATGTCAGGAAACTGTTGTTTGAAACATATAGTCTCCACACACACTTAGCAGCAGTCATTGTTGCCTACAGTGGTTTGACAGAAGAGGAAAACACTTTAGCAGAGGCTCTTCAACTACTTCAAAGAATAACATATGGTTATCGTATTGACTACTATCAACCTAACATGGATGATCTTTTAAAGTTCATTATAAACAACATCCTCAACAATACAGAAGCATTTATTTCTTCGTCATTGGGGACACTAGCAAATTTGTGTAGAAATAATTTCCTAGTGCAGTCAACCATCAGAAATATGTATCAGTCTGATTTTAAGAAAATATTAAGAGCTCTGTGCAACTTTTTTGATAATCAAGACCAAAGCTTGGTTATTTTCTCACTTCGTATCTTCACAAGCTTATGTTTGAATGAAAGTGAGGGTCAAAAGCTTTTCTTTGAGAGCAATAATGTGGAACAGACTATGCAAGCAATATTTGGCGTTCTGAAAAATAGCTTTAAGACAATAGCATGGAAATATGCTGCAGACCTACTTACAGATTTAATTCGACACCCACAAATGCAGATCTGTATAAACAAATATCGCCATTTGTCAAGGTGTATGAAAGATATCCTCTTGTTATTACCTGCTGGCTCAGATGAAACTGCTGCTGAGATGTTTGAACTTCTTCTCAGTCTCTGCACTGTGCCATCTATTCGGCAATGTATAAACTCAAGCCTTTTTACACCACTGGCCCAAGGAAAAGTTTCAGCAACAGAAATGTCAGAAGTCCAACAAACTGCCTTAAAACCTGACACTAACATATTATTGTGCTGTATACATTGGGCAGCACAAGAACCAAATCTAAGAAGCAGAGCACCATGTTTAGCTTTGGATTTTCTTTTTGAAACTTGCCAAGATAGTATTTGTAGTACAGAAAGCTATCCAGTTCATTTGTTGACTCCAGTGTTTACAGATTTTCTAACCCGACCAGACCAGACAAACTCTCCAGAAAAAACTGTTCGTATCATCAAGATTTTAAATGTGTTGTGTTCAAAGAAACAGAGCAAAGATACAATAAGCACATTATTAACACTAGATAGTATGGCCAACCTCCTTGAGAAACAGCTGTCCGCTGCATCCTCATACTTACCAGAAAGTGTAGAAAGAGAAGAGAGTACTCAGTGTGGACTATTAACTTTGGATCTTGCATGGAAATTACGGAAATGTATTCAAGGACTTTCAGAATGTTTGAAGGAAGTACTGAAGTCTCCAAGAATGATGGGCTTAATTGCTGTTGGTCTTATGTCTACATGTCAAGATCATGTAGAAATTGCATTACGGCTTATGTGTTTTGTCATGGGATTTGAAGATGCCACACCTGACATAAGCCTATGTGGTACAGTTGCATGCTTAAATAAACAAAAAGAGTCACTAAAACGTAGCAGAAAAAAATAGTGAAACAATAGGAAAACAGGCAATAATTTCCAGCAGTGTACTTGAAAGCAAGGAAAACAGAGTCCAACCACTTACTAGCACATCTTATGCCCAGGTGGAAAATAAAAGCAAAGGAAATTCTAAGAACGAAACAAGTTATGATAAGAATGATTTATCATTAGAGAGTTTAATTGAAAAATGGAAAGCATTACGGAGTCAAAAGAACCTAAAGTAGTAGAAATAGTTGAAGTTTTTGAGCATCATATAAAATCTCTGCAGATAAAAGAGGAGCACCTAAATAATCTGCTGGAGGCCAAAGTTTAGCTCTTACACAAGCTGATCGAGTAATTGCACAGCTTAGAGCTACCAAGGTTTCCCATTCTGCTGAGATGAAAAAGCTACAAAATATTTTGAAAGAATCAGAAAGGAAGACGGAACACATCATGTCACAGATGAATGAAGCAAAGATAAATGCAGATAAAATACAGGAACAATATGAAAAACAATTATCTAGTTTTAAGGAAGAAATGGATGCCTTGAATAAAGAAAAAGATGAAGCAAGTGAAAAATGTCTGGAATTGGAAGAGACTATAATGGCTTGTAAAAGAGAGAATAAGACATTATTAAATATGAAGGAAGCTCTGCAAGAAGCTCATGAAGTATTGAAAGACCAGTATGACATGTTATCTAACCAGTGCTAACAACTAGAAGAAGAGAGAAAATCTTTGTCTAAACAACTCAAAGAAAAAGATGCTTCGTTACAAAAAATAAATTCAACATTGCAAGTACTGCAGAGCAAGTATGATGATACTGAAAAAGAACGTTCTGAGCTTGAAAAAGAAAAAGAAGATATAGAAGCTTATGTAGATAAGTTGAGAAACCAACTCAGCACAAGTGAAAACTCTTGCCGCCAGCTACAACAGAGGGCAACAACCTTGGAGGGAATCAACCAAGAACAAGTTGAGAAGATAAAACAAAAAACTGATAAAATATCTGAACTGGAAGCTGAACTAGAAAAGCATAATCAAATTCTAACTTTTATTAACAATATGCAACTCAAATCAACAGGAAATAAAAAATAAACTAAAATTGTTTATACATTAATACTTGCAAAAATAAAACATTGTTCTTTGAAGCTATACACTGTATAATCTGTATATGTAATTAGCATTTTGTTTTTAAAACTGCTGTTCAGTATTTTGTGTAGGTGACCATGCATCAGAGCTTACATTAACTGACATACTGGAAGTAAAAAAAAAATAGTGTAAAATGGTGTCTTTTAAAACTGTTCATTGTATATTTTTAATTGACAATTAAACAGGTCAACACTTAAAAAAAAAAAAAAAATATATATATATATGCAATTGATGTTGATTGTTCATGTCTTTGATGCTATGTAAAATCTATCAAATATATTATTATTACTGATTTAAATGTTTAAAACAATTGAATTAATAAAAATAAAAATAAAAATAATCTACCCCCTCCTCTCTCCCCCTCTATCCACTTTACCCCCAGACATGATAATCCCACAATCCCTTTAACTGTTCCATCGACCCCACCACCCACCGCAACATCAATATCCAGAACTTATTTAAAGTTCTAAATCTTGTCTCTCTCCCCTCATCTTTCACACTGCAACCTTTTGAAAACTCAATGCGACCACTACAACACCCTTTCAACTAGTCAACTTAAGTTGTTTCCCTACATAGAAAATGCTTCACTGTCCCATTGACCCTCTCTGAAAAATTTCCTTTCCTCTCCCCACCCAGACTTCTGACACTTTCATTTGACCTTCACCCCTTTTACTGTCATCCTTTGCAATTTTTTTATAATCAAATACATGACATCATGTAAATATTCATTATGTACATTTGCAAAACCTTTCGTTTTCATTTGGTGTTCAAAATTATGTTAAAAAATGTGATGTTGATGTACTTGTTTTAATTGCAAATAAAAGTATTTTTTAAAAAAAAATCAAAAAAAAAAAAAAAATTGAAACTTTGCTTTTTTTTTTTTATTTTTTTTTTAAGAACTTTCACTTATCTAATCTTTTATAAGTAATTTGATAGTATGCTATACTATGTGTTAGAGATACGTTTCTTGATAGTTTAAGAAATGTTTTTTTATGGTATTTTAAAATGTATACTGTGCTGGATCAGTATTTGACTCATTCATGTCGTATTAAAATTGATTGCGCTGACCTCTTGCCTCAACTTTTGATCCAAATATTTGATAAGTTTCGCGTGATTTGTGTTGAAACTTGGCCTCTCCCCCCGGACTGGAGAGTGTTAAAACTTAGCCCTACCCACGGGCGATCACGACTGATTTGGCCAACACTGTATCAGATTAGATCCCCTTTAATCCACTCCCAGACAAAAAGATTAGCATTTCAAATCGGGTCCAGCATCCTTATGATGGATGACCCAGTGTCACGTGATCGTCTGGTCAGCAGGTGGCGGGATGGAACCCGATACTCCAGAACAGCAGACATGCAGGCTGGAACTTCCCTGGCCCTGGCCGGAAGTCGGGTGAGGTCACGTGGTACAACGTTACGCTGCCTGCCCGCTGATTGGTGGAGCGGCGGGTCATTAGTGGACAGTGTCCGATGTGTGCATCTGTGTCCTGCCCGGCCATGTACTCGAATCGATAACTCTACACAACTGTTTATTTCATGTAGGCCTACAGTGCAGTTATGGAAATATAAGTTTCAAATATAAATATTTTAAAAATCAAAAACAGGATATAATTAATTTACAGCGACTTTGTAAAAATAAAATGACAAAATAAAATTATTTTTTAAAAAAATAGTAAAGGGTTGTATTGTATCTAAATTGCTTTTAAAAAACTAAAACTATAATATCAAATATTTTCAAGAATACAGCATAAAATTTGATTTGATAGAGAAAATGTATATTTTGACGGATTAAATTAAACCTCGATTTTGAATATATATTATTAAGAACCTTTTTCATATATTAACTATATTTTCATTAAAATTATTGTTTTCTGTGAAATTTAATTTGATTTTCGTTCGCTATAATTTTCCCAACGATGCTTATGTAGCGAAACATTATTTTCTGATGTGTGGAAGGAACGCCTTTATCTTCAGATACTTTTTGTATAGAGTGAGGACATTAGTAAATTAATTAGTCGATTCGTTTTTTGTTTTTTTCTGGTTGTTGGAATAATGTTTCCTGCCTTCATAATCACACTCGTTAAAGTAAATTAAATCAGGTTTTATTTCAATTATCTTTTGATAAGAGAACCTGGAAATCTTGTAGGAAGATAAAGTTTAATAGTTTTATGACCTGGGTCTATGAAGAATTAATTTTGTTAAACAATTTGCTGTAAAGTCATTATTTTCACAGATTCAATTTAGAGTCGCGACAGTGTTGGCTAGCGTGCGCTCTACCACGCTACCACTCTGTTCCCTTCTTAGGATATCTCACTGATTATAATCTTAGCCTGTCCATCTCCATCTTCCAAATGTGTGTTATCATAAAGCTACTTGACGAATAGCTGGGATAATAAATGTTGTCAATTACCACAGCAATTTTTTTTGTAAGATGTATGTGAATGGTGGGGACCTCACATGGTTTACTAGCTCGCCCCACTTAATGCTGAACTGTTTCTGTAGGCCTATGCGTGTATTCTCCAAGTCAAGACATTGTTAAAGATAAATGCTATAATAGGTTATGCTTCTGTAGTCTGGGTTTTTAGCTCCATAGCCGCTCTTAATAATACAAAAAGAGTCATACAACGTGTCTGGATTATCTAACAGTCTAGAAGCTTCTTAAAAAGAAAAATAATTATTCACAAGAGCAACTTATCCGTTAATGCGTGTATTTTTAATTCTAGATTTATTATATTAGAATTCTTACTTATTGTTTTTTGAAGTTTACGAAACCGTAACAGCAATTTGTTAGTTGTTATGTTGTAAAATAACATAAAATCAATATCGTAGGGATGTACCAAACAGAACTGAGATGTCAATAACTGAAAGGTCCGTAACCCACCAGCCTAGGAAAACACGCGTAGAGTGCTTGCCCTTAGATTCCCCCATGTATTTCGGCGAGCCGAACTTGGAGCGCCGTCTGTGGTCGTGTTTACCCGTGCTCCCCCGTCTGATACTGCTGTTTTCTTTACTCATTCCATGGGGTGCTGCTCATGCCACCCCCCACGCGAGTTGTCTCTCGTGACCCCCCTACCACCACCACACGAGTTGCCCCCCCCCCACACCAACACTACCACACGAGTACCTGCTCACCCCCACCACCACACCCCTCCCAACCTTTCCACCACGAAGATGCGCGTGTGGCTACGACATTAGGGCGAACATAATATCTTACCATTGAGACTAATTGAAGACAAGTCACCCATTATACCCATACAGCCACACCAAAGTCCACACAACAACCACATGCCCACACAACAACGATAGGCCGACACAGCAACCACATGCCCACACATCAACGATAGGCCGACACAGCAACCACATGCCCACACATCAACGATAGGCCGACACAGCAACCACATGCCCACACATCAACGATAGGCCGACACATCAACCACATGCCCACACATCAACGATAGGCCGACACAGCAACCACATGCCCACACATCAACGATAGGCCGACACAGCAACCACATGCCCACACATCAACGATAGGCCGACACAGCAACCACATGCCCACACATCAACGATAGGCCGACACAGCAACCACATGCCCACACATCAACGATAGGCCGACACAGCAACCACATGCCCACACATCAACGATAGGCCGACACAGCAACCACATGCCCACACATCAACGATAGGCCGACACAGCAACCACATGCCCACACATCAACGATAGGCCGACACAGCAACCACATGCCCACACATCAACGATAGGCCGACACAGCAACCACATGCCCACACATCAACGATAGGCCGACACAGCAACCACATGCCCACACATCAACGATAGGCCGACACAGCAACCACAGGCCCACACATAAACCACTTGCCCATGTAACAACCACATGCCCACACATGAACCACATGCCCACACATGAACCACATGCCCACACAGCAACCACATGCCCACACAGCAACCACAGCCCTACACAACCATAGCCCCACACAGCAACCACATGCCCACACATAAACCACATACCCACACAACAACCACTTGCCCACACAACAACCACAGGCCCACACAACCAATCCAACGGCGCCTAATCTGGAATTGCTTCTACTTCCGATTCGCAACTAACGCATATAAACACACACACAAAAATGCGCTTCCGTAATATTTGCCACTTAATGTTTCTTTTTCTCATTGAAAACTATCTATCCTTACACTATGATAATTGTGGGCGGGGGTGGGGGATAGGGCAGGCAGGTTCAAACTTACATGACTTATATTTTTTACATACAATTCTCACCTCATGGCATTTCATGCAAGAAGTTAAAAAAAAAAACTTCAACCCCCACAGAACAGTTTTCATTTACTTTCTTCCAATAAAAATCTCACTCTGGCGCCAATCCGATTCTCAGACTTACCCCAGGGGACGCCCGGACACCCAGCAAGCTAATTAAGGTTTTTTGGAACATTCCCGAATACTGAAATCTCAAGTCCGTGGTGTGATGTGGGCCCTAATTCATCGCTGGCGTTTTTACAGAAATATAGAACTGAAAGATAAATTGAAATTCTGAAACTTGGGATTTCTGAGATCGCATATTTCATCCCACAGCATACGATTTGTATTTGAGATGCAACGAATGATTTAAGATAACATGAATGTATGAGATGTATTAAAAAATACTCGATTGCTTTCTCCAATAAAAAAATAATCGTTTAAAAGGATAGTAAAAAAAACCTCAGTAAGCTCGCAAAAGAAAAATATAACAGTCCTGGATGCTGTTGAAACTAGATTGGTTTAATCATATTTATAGAAATAAATTATTGGATATCGATTAGATAATGAAGCGTACTTCGTTGTGTTTTTGTTATCACGCTTTACTCAACACAGTTCATAACAATGTATTGAAACATATATAGAAGACAGTGTATTTTATTACAAAATATTGAGCGAGAAACACCAACAAACAAAAACAACACAATTGTAACTTTAAAAAAAAGATTGCGTTATATTGTGAAGTGGGCGACAGAAGGCGCCATAACTCTGGAATCTGGCGTTGTTCTAGTTAAAGGTCTGCCTGGAGCCATACCACAGTGACTCCACGGAGACAGCGGTCTGCGTGCAGTGCATCAGCGTGTCTCCAGTCCTGCATTGCTAGCCGGAGATCGCTATTCGGGGCGTGCA